TACGCTCGGTTCGCAACAAACAACTGCACCTCCCAGTCGCGAACCATTTCAACTCCCCCTCCCATTCCTCAGACGACATGTCCATCCTGGGCCTCCTGCAGTGCCACAACGATGCCACCCGAAGGTTGCAGGAACAGCAACTCATATTCCGCTTGGGAACCCTGCAGCCCAATGGTATCAATGTGGATTTCACAAGTTTCAAAATCTCCCCTCCCCCCACCGCATCCCAAAACCAGTCCAGCTCGTCCCTGCCTCCCTAACCTGTTCTTCCTCCCACCTATCTCCTCCTCCCACCTCAAGCCGCACCTCCATCTCCTACCGACCAACCTCATCCCGCCCCCTTGACCTGTCCGTCCTCCCTGGACTGACCTATCCCCTTCCTAACTCCCTACCTACACTCACCTTTTGGCCCCATCCCCGCCTCTTCGACCTGTTTGTTTCCTCTCCACCTTTTCCTCTCCTCTATCCCTCTTCTATCCGCCTCCCACTCTCTCCCTATTTATTTCAAAACCCCCTTCCCCTCCCCCTTTTCTGATGAAGGGTCTAGGCCCGAAACGTCAGCCTCTCTGCTCCTATGATGCTGCTTGGCCTGCTGTGTTCATCCAGCCCTGCACCTTGTTGTCTCGGATTCTCCAGCATCTGCAGTTCCTACTATCTATGGCCTCATCTCAATCCATTTGTGTACCCTGCTCCAGCCTTGCATTGCATTTGCATCCTTTGATCCACTAACTCTTTGTTCCCCCCCAGCCCCACGAATGCTTCTTCGCAGCCTTTGTTCTACTGTTAGCAAGGTCATTAAGCACTACTGGCTGGATCTCTAGCCCTAATTCCCTACATTTTCCTTTCTACTTTTTTAAACCTTTTGAAAAACCATCTTTTCAGCTAAGCTTTCCGTCCCACCCCTCTGGTTCCTGTTATCATTTGTTTTAGTATTACCTTGTTTGTCTTGGTGTAAAATTTTGTTTTAATAGTGCTCATGTAAAGCACCTTGGGATATTTAATTACATTAAAGGCACTGTGTAAATACAAGTTGCCATCTTCTGCTACACTTGAACCAACCTTAGAATGGTTAACTTGCAATTTAGTTCTGCTCACATAGAGGGAGCTGTAGCACATCCAATGGATTCTGCAGTACCTATGTGAAGTTGAACCACTGGGGAACTGGGAGCCTGCAAACAAGTTGAAACTAAAACTCTTCAGATCTGTAACCTCTATTCCTATTAGGAAGCAGCTCAACAACTTCGTGAGCAGTGCTCCAAATGCACAATACCCACCCCACTGATGTGCGGTCAAAATCCTTTGAACCCAGCTGAAGAGTGCCACTTCCCATGTGATGGGGAAATTTACCCGAGTCTTCCAGTTTGTCAGCTTCTAATAAGTATAGTACAATTGCTTTGTGCCATTGGCTGTATGAATTGTGGTGTGACTGTGCGCACAGGAAATCTGAGACCCTCTACTCAACATCCAGTGGCACCAACAAAAGTGACTAAAGTCTATTCTTTGTCTCAGTAACTTCCAGGGCCATATTTACCAGGGCCTTAATTCAGCTGCAATGAGTATCCTGATTCAGAGCAAACTTCTCCAGCAACAAGAGCTAAATGTTTTCTTGTTTTTTTTTTGATATTCTTTTGTTTTCAGGATCTGATTGAGAAAGTAGTGGTTTTGCGTAAAGCAATTGAACTTACCCAAGGAACGAACAACAATGGAGTGGGTGCTGTTCTAGCAGACAAGATGAGTCAATATGCTAATCTGTTGGCTGCCCAAGGAAGTCTGGCTGCAGCTTTGTCTTACCTGCCTACTGATACAAATCAGGTATGCTGAAAGGTGTTTTGGCTTTGGCTCCACTTTACGACCATGTGATCTTTAATGTTGTGTTTATTGTGTGTGGCTCTGATCACCACGCTACAGAAAGGATGTGGAGGCTTTGGAGAGAGTGCAAAAGAGGTTTCCCAGGATGTTGCCTGGATTAGAGTGTATTAGCAGTAGGGAGAGATTGGACAAACTTGGATTGTATTCGCTTAAGCGTCTGAGGCTGAGGGGTGACTTGATAGAAATATATAAAATTGAGAGGCAGGGATAGTCAGAACCTTTTCCCAGTGTGGAAATGCCAAATACTAAATCCAATATATATTCTAAAACCAATCTTCCTTCCTTATAAGCATTGCTGTGATTTTGTTCTGGACTCACTCTTTAATCATTTAGATTTCTCCTGTCCCTCCTGGTATGTTTCATATTTTTGTTGATTTGCTTTTGCTATTCTAGAAACAAAAGTTGTATTAATAGTGAGCAAAATATCAATATCATATTTGCATACATCTGTTATTGTAAAATTAATAGAGAGTAAGATATTCCACTGTAGATGGTGCAATACAAACAAACCTTAGTTCACAATATTTTTTAAAAATAATGTTTAGTGCAAAATGTGATGGGTGATGGAGTTGCTATCATTGTCACACCATCACAGCAGTGTCCATAAGGTAAGGAAAAAGGAACCAATTGCCTTGATGACAGCTAGCCTTAGAACAAATGAACATCCTCATTGAGGAAGCTCATAAATCCATATTTTGTCTCATTTTGATTTTTTTAAATTTCTCTTTTGACAAGTTGACCATCTTGCATTTGCGAGACAGACTGTTCCGTGCCCAGGGTGAACAGGCAGCTGGGCAAGAATCTGCTGCTTTTCCTCATGGGAAGCATCCAGTTCCAAGAGGTCAAGCAGGCTCCAACCATTCACTTGCCCCAGGGCAGCTACAGCAGCAAGCACCTACCCAGCAGTACTACGCACAGGTGAGAGGCAGCTTCTATGTCAGTTTTAACCCAAGGTTAAGCATACGTATATTCTGGATATTGTATACAATATTGTTTTAATGTAATTTCAAATTTTAATCATAAATGTTTCGCTTTTGATTAAGATTTCCATTTACCAAATGTGCAACCTATGATGACCAGGCATGTGGTTCAATAAATTCATTAGTAGTAGAGCATAGACTAAGAAATGTGCTTGTACTGCTCAATATCTATCTGTATGATAGTGTAACTCAGGGTTGTTACAACTTGTTATCTAAGTTGGGCATTGTCCTTTGCTCTTGTTGTTTTGTCTGATGCACCTGTCTTTTCAAATGTAGACCTGATGTAGACAGAAGATACAGCATTGATAGATGAAAGAGATGGAGGTATGACAACTATAGCTAAGGAAGTAGAACTTTAAGAAAGATTGGTGTATCTCAAGAGTGAAAAGACTTTGAAAGACATGTAACGTAGAATGTTGAAGGATACAGAGAGGCTTTAATCACAATCTTTCAAAGATTATTGGATTTTGAACACGTGCCAGAAGACCAGACTGTTGCTGATGTAACACCTGTGTTCCCAAAAAGGTGAAAGGAATAAATCCAATAACTATAGACCATTTAGCCCGATTTCAATTGGTGAGCTTCAGGAAGCCGTAACGCGTGAGTTAGTTAAGGGCAATCAGCACAGGAATGTAAGAAAGAAGGTCCATTTGACAATGTTTTTAGTTTTTGAGAAAACTTTATTGATAATGCAAATTGCTATGCAGAAGCATCTTTGGTGAGGTGCCGCCTACAAACTGTAACTAAATTAAGGCATAGTTCATAAATTGAGAAGATAGAAGACAGACGAAATTTAATGCAGATAAAAATGAGGTGATATACTTTGCAAGGAAGAATAAGAAATATAAATAGCAAAATTCTAAAAGGAAAGAGGTTAGATATACATTTGAGATACGAGATTTTATAAACAAGGGTTACACAGCAGCGAGGTAGTTCACAGCTTCTGATAATCATTCATTCAGCTGCAGTTAGAATATTGAGTCAGTTTTGGGCATGTTTCTTGGGTAATGATGACAAGCCCACAGATAGGGTGCAAATTAATTTAACTAAAATAAGGCGATAGCTAAGTTTATTCTCTAGCACATTTAACATAAGCACCTGCCCCAAGATAGCTTCTAACAGAAGAGAATTAAGAAAGAACTTTCATTTAGAAGGCACCTTTCACAGCCTCCATGTTCTAAAATGCTTTACAGCCAATTAAATACTTTTTGAAATGTTATCTCTTCTGTAATATAGGAAACAACAGCTAATTTGTGATTATGAATGTGATTATGATTAGAGCATTAATTTTGGGTGTTGTTTGAAGGGTAGATGTTGTCCTGAATTTCCTTGATGTTTGTTTGTAACAGTGCCATGGGATCTTTCACATCCATCTAGAAGGGAAGACTATGCTGCAATTTAAAACCTTATCTGTAAGAGGGCATCTCAAACTCTGCAGCAGTCTCTTAGTATCGTACTGAAGTTTCAGCTCTGATTTTATGCCCAAGTCTCTATAATGGACTATAAAGAAGGCTGAGTCCATGAAGAAATTTAAAATCGAGGTCGAGCATTTGAATTGTGCAGCATTAGTGTACCTGGAGCCAATACTAGCTATTGAGCTCAGAGCAGACAGAAGAGTCTACAGTTATGAGGAGAGACTAGTGAAACTACCTTGCTTTACATTAGAATTAAGATAGTTAGAGGGAAACCTAAGGAGTTGTTCAAAATTGACAAAGGACAAGTAGATAAAAACCTATGTTGTGCTATAAAGCTTTAATGTAACTCCAAGCATATTAAATGACAATTGATATTGTTAATAAGGAGGTAATTGTGACTGTTTTATTCGGAATGGACTTTAACATTTTCTCTTCAATTTTGTGCATATTTTCTAGAGTAACGCTTATTTGTCGTTATTCATTGCAGTGAAAACTCATAAATGAGAGTTCTGGCAGCAGCTGATCAGTAGGCTTAGAGTGAATAGAGATTGCAACTTACTGTTTTTCAGAAGGAATTTGAAGAAACCATTAGTTGAATGCTACCTGAAGTTAATTAATCTGATTCTCTTTAGTAATTGTAAAGGAATCTGTGCCTAAATGATTTTAAATAGAAACAATGCCTGAATGGCACTGCAAATCAATGAGGATGCGAAGGAGATAAATAAGATGGCAGAATGTTCGGGTGAAGCGTCCGAACGAGGACAATAACCTCTCCTTTCTCTTTTCGAAACTACCTGCCCTTCTCTGTGTCATTTTAAATGTTTCCTGTTTTTTATTGCTAACATTTAAAGATTTCCTTTTTAACCCTCCCGAAACTGCAGTATTGATCTCAAATGTAGTTGGATGGTGATGAAGGGTTGTCAGAGATATCAATGAAACTGATTTGTGGCCTGCTTTCGTTTTTACTATTTCTTTTTTTGGGTGGGCAAAAAATTGCGATGGGCCCAGAGTTAGACTGAACTCAAATGCAGATTTCCAATGTATGTTCCAATCATAACCCATTTCATCTGGAGTGCTAAACCATAATATCTTCTTCAAAGTCCTTATTTCTCAAGTGAGGATTCTGAGGATAATTTAGTGCAATTTCTTTTGCTTATTTGAAGTTTCCCGAATATATTCTACAAATATATTATCCACTGAACTAGTGTAAGAATCGACACACGTCTTTTAATCCAGTAGCCAGAATGACTGTTGGGGAATACGAAATTACAGGGTTGCAGGGGTCCTCACCTGTTTTCAAATTCCAATTGAGAAGTGGGTGATTCTTTTGTTTTCTTGCCCCACACAAATGCGAAGTTTCTGTTTTCAGTGTTTTTAGTTCTGCTTCTCATCACATATCTTACAGTTGCTGCATCTGTGTTAGTGTTTTGTCATCATAAAGAATTTATGACCTTTCACTATTCTGGCTGTGATCGTACTGAATATCTCACATCGAGATAAATAGCTTGGCATATAGTAGCTATATTCATTATCTAGCTCAGACTATACAACTGAAATCTGAGAGCACATAGATTTTAATGTGAGGGCATATTACATTCACTCTGTTCTGAAATGGTTCAACTTAGCCATTAATGGTGGTGGAAACAAATTCAGTAATAACTTTCAAAAGAAAATTGGAATAACCTTCGATGGGTAAAAATTGCAGTGTTTAGAGGTGAGAGAGAGTAGTATTTAGAGGGAATGAAATAACTCTTTCAAAATGTTGGCACAGGCTTAATGGAAAATGTCTGATTCTGTGATTCTATTAGCTTGGGGTCGGGGGGTGGTGCGCGTCATGTCCAGTGGCTGAGCCAATCACGAATGGCACTGTACAACCAAGCACACACAACACAGAAATGTTGAAATTTCAGCAGGATCAAGTAGGAGCTTCTGTTGAGCCATTAGGAAGACTCCTGCATGACTGACCCCAGTCAAGTAAATGCAGTTTTGCTTTTACGTATATAAATTATAAATGTCCTTGTAATTGCCTTGCGCATGCTGTCTAAATTAGCTCTATTTCTTGTGTCCCAGTTTTTGAGTCATACTTGTATGTTACCATTTACAATGGAAAGATCCCAAGTCACTATTTGTCTGCATCACCTTTTTGAAAGCTGTTGGGTCTCCAAGCAAATGGTGATGTTGTTGCATACCATTGGAATGATTAGAAAATAATCTCTTAGCTAGTATTCACAATGGTAGGGGCACTGGGTGGGGCAGTGGCAGCCGCTGTTGGGTGCGGAAGGGAAGAGATTGTGACTGCAGAGGCTCCTCAGACAGGCACTGAAAACAAGGATTCGCTGGAAAATGGTGGTGTCAAAATAATGTTACTGGACTGGGCATTCAGACACCCAGGCTGATGCTTTGGCAGCATCACTTCAAATCTCACCATGGCAGCAGTTGGAACTTCAATTCAAGTCATGAGTCTGGAACATAAAGCTAGCCTTAGTTATGGTGATCATAACAACAATCATCGATTGAAATGCATCTATTTCACTAATATCCCTAATATATTAGGGGCAGCATGGTGGCACAGTGGTTAGCACTGCTGCCTCACAGCGCCAGGGACCCAGGTTCAATTCCAGCCTCAGGTGACTGTCTGTGTAGAGTTTGCACATTCTCCCCATGTCTGCGTGGGTTTCCTCCAGGTGCTCCGGTTTCCTCCCACAGTCCAAAGATGTGCAGGTCAGGTGGATTGGCCATGCTAAATTGACTGTAGCGTTCAGGGAGGTGTAGATTAGATGGGTTATAGGGGGATGGGTCTGGGTGGGATGCTCCGAGGTTCGGTGTGGACTTGTTGGGCTGAAGGGCCTGTTTCCACACTGTAGGGATTCTATGATCCTTTTAGGGAAGGAAATCTGCCGTTTTTTTGCCTGGTCTGGCCTACATGTGACCCAAGGCTTACATGTGACTGCAGATCCGTCGCGATGTGGTTGACTCCTGGTTGCCATCTGAAACTGCCCTCGCATGCCACTCAGCCTTTATTAAGGATGGGGAAAAGTGCTGGCACCTTGTCAATATTCTGGAACTCCTTCCCTCAGAGAATTATGGATTACCATCAGCAGTTGGATGTCTGAGGTTCAAGATGGCAGCTCAACATCACCACCTCAGGGAAAATTAGGGATCAGCAGTAAATCCTGATCCCACATCGTGTGGAGGTGCCAGTGTTGGACTGGGATGAAATTTAATCCCAGTATTAGTGCAAGGTGATGCATTTTGGGAAGTCTAATTAGAGAGAGATATACACAATGAATGATAGGTCCCTAGGGGGTACTGAGGAACAAAGAGACCTTTGTGTACAAGTCCATGGATTCCTGGAGGTGTCAGCACAGGTAGCCAGTTGGTGAAAAAGGCATATGGGATGCTCATTTTCATTAGCTGAAGGGTAGAATACAGGAGCAAGCTTGTTACAGCTCTGTAAAAAATTGGTTAGGCCTCAGATGGAATGCTGTGTGTAGCTCTGGTCACCACACGATCAGAAGGATGCACAGGAGAGATTGCACAGGAGATTCTGTAGGATATCCCTAGGATGAAAAGCCTCAGTTATGAGGAGAGACTAAATAAAAACCGTAAAAAAAAGTGTAAATCAGGAACAAAAACCGAAGTTGCTGGGAAAGCTCAGCAAGTCTGGCAGCATCTGTGAAGAAAAAAAATCAGAGTTAACATTTCGGGTCTGGTGACCCTTCCTCAGAACCTTCTGAGGAAGAACTCAGAACGAACAGTTCTGAGGAAGGGTCACCGACCCGAAACGTTAACTCTGATTTTTTCTTCACAGATGTTGCCAGACCTGCTGAGCTTTTCCAGATCTTCTGTTTTTGCTCGTTGTTTATGAGGAGAAAATAGATAGGCTGGGTTTGTTTTCATTGGAGCAGAGGAGGCTGAGGGGGATCTAAGCGAGGTACACAAATTATGGGAAGCATAGAATAGATTGTGAGAATCTTTTTCCCATGACAGATGGGTCTAAGACCAGAGGAAATAAGTTTAAGGTGAGGATTAAATGGTTTAGATGAGATCTGAGGGAAAAAAAATGTTTTCACCCAGAGGATGGCAGAAATGTGGAACGTGCTGCTTGAGAGAGCGGTGGAAGCACATATTCTCACAACATTTAAGAAGCATCTGGATGAGTACTTAAAATGACATGGCATAGTAGGCTTTGGACCAAGTGCAGGTAAATGGGATTAGTGTCGTTTAGTGTTTAATGTTCGGCATAGACATGATGGGCTGAAGGGCCTGTTTCTGTAGTGTATGACTCCATAACTATCACATGATCCATGTATCCTCATAAACTGGATTCAAACATGAGTCCCTGTTATTTTACATGATATCGTGCATAACACCTGCACTGCACTGGTAGCATATCTTATTGACACAAGCAGTGTTAATTTGAAAAGGGGTTAAAACAGCTTGTTAAAGTAGGAGTAACGTTCTCATCTTCAATGCCAAGTGTCTTAATATTACAGCAGTCTTTATTTGTTTGTGTTTGTGTGCATGTTGTTTAAGGGAAACTATCATGTCATCTTTTATTTACTTTTGTATAAAATATGGATGCGCGTTGTGTGGTTCCTTATTTTATTTCCATTATTGGTGTCTGTCTCTGTTTGATTCAGGTTAGACCTGCCCCTACTGTTACATCATGGAGTAACCAAACTTCCACTGCCCTTTCCAGCTTTCCATCAGCCTCTGCATCTAACACACAGGTACAACAGTGTTAATCTACTGCTCTCTCCCAAATTAGCAGCCTGTCTTCACACTCAAAAAAAAAAAAAATTGCGTTGGAAATGGGGAAATATATATTCTAATATTTAAATCTACTTTGCTTGCTATCTGATCTTTGACTACAGTTTATTGCTGTCTTTTCTGAATATTTTTGTTTAAATTTTGAAAAGAGCTCTGAGTATTGACTTTGGATTTACGTAGGTATCAGTTCAAACAACTAGTAACTGATTGTCTTGTGTATTTTGCGTTGCTTGGAAATATTCAGTCAATAGATCTATTTCTGCAAAGTGGTTCCCTCCACCCATGAAATGTCCTTATGGAGCACATGAAACACATTTGAAATGATTGAGAATATTTAAGATCAGTACAGTAGTTTTCCCCACTTTTGTGACTCTTATTACTGAGTTCATTGATTTTTTTACTCATTAAAACACCCTCACACTACCACCAACCCACATACAATGAAGAAAAGTATTTGTATGTGTCTAGATGACTCATGATTTGTTGTAACAAAATATAGCAATGTTTGCTGCTCAGGTAATGATGCTGACAGAAATTCTGAAGTAGGCACATAATAGTCACTTGAGAAATTATGCTGCTGTTGCTTTGTGAAAGTCTCCCTCCAAGCTTTTATCATAGTCAATTACAGGGAAGGCTGAGTGTTGTTGAAGGTACGACTTTTCACATTACAGATGATGATTTTTGCTGAGAAGGCTGTTTCCACACATTCATTTGTTAGAAGTATAGGTAAAAGAAAAGAGAGCTCACTGCCAGTTAAAAGATGTAAAATTACATTAATCCCGTCTGTTAAACATTCTGAACCACATGCTATTCAACTTGAGGAAAGAATTCCAATCTCTAATGTTTTGTATGAAAGCCACTATTGCTTCTCAGTCCAGTTCATTTTGGGTATGGACTTTGAAACAAAATTCTATACAAATCCATGAAGCAAAACTGACCAGATATACTCATGTCATCAGTTTGAGCTGTTACATTAAAGGATGAGTGAAGAGAAAATTGATTGCTGACTTTCTCCATTGGATTTTGGACATTATTGTTTCATACTGGTGTTTGACTTGAATTGAAATTCACTATTTTGCAAATTTTGTTAAAGCTCTAATGTGAAAACAAACCTGAATATAAGTAAAAGGTTGTGTGTTGTGTTAGATACTTTGTTATTATCTTGGTAACCAAATGTTCAAAAATAAATACAGATTTCTACTATTTGTCTTTTTCAACTGAAATGATGTCTATATACTACTGTTAAAATATGAAAAATTGTGTGTTATTTGTCCAAGCAGCAGTTTCTTCTGTAGTTTATCTGGCAAGATGATAGACTTCTCATTGTAATGCTTTAAGAAGCTGTCTTTGCCTTTCATTTACCGTTGAACGATGTATAAAACTTTGAGTGAAGTTAAAATGATAATGTGAGCAAAAAAGCAACTCGGTGCTTAAATCTATGAAGAAAATTTGAAATGATCTTGTATTAAAAGAACTAGGTACAATATGAGTCCAAGATCTCACTGCTTTCTATCTAGTTCATCTTGTGAACCCTATGTTGTGTCCTAACTGTTAACTCAATGTTATCCTACACCCTTTCTCATAATCCCTTAGCTTTGGTACTTTCCTCAATGCCTTCAAATACTTAGGAATAGCATTTTTAGTAGTTGCTGTCATTCTCCTCCCCTTCCTCCAGATGCTCCTTTTCCTGCCCTGTGCAAGGTTTCTGCCTGCAAAGTTTTTAATGGCATGCTTACCCACACAAACAGCTGCAAAAATGTTGATTGTTTTAAAATTTGAACTGTTTTCCAAGACAACTGCATTTTCAGGATTTGAATGTTATCACTCTTTGAGTGTAAATGTTTATCATTTAATAATACCATACATACTACTCCAATATATTGTAACTTTTTAATTTACTCACACTAGCTGTTTATACTTAGCTACATTTTTTTTTTAACTGCATTTTGAATGCAACTTTATAGCTTCAAATGCTGCTTTGCTCTTTCACCCAGGGTGAAGCCCCACCACCTGGTTTCATACTTCAGGGTATTTCAAATCCAAGTGGCCAGATCCAATCACCAGCTTCAACATCAACTGTTTATAACGTGTATTCCCAAGTCGGATCCCGCCAGACATTCCCTCAAAGTAAGTGTAGTCAGCAATATCATGTTTTTGCTCTGAATCAATTTAAGTTCTGCACTACAGTGGCTGAACCACTTTACTTTATTGGATATTTTAGAAAATATCTAGTAAGTGCTTGATACGTGATTTTTGTTCTAGTTTTATCTGCACGTTTTATGTCTTTTAGCTACCTTGATCATCCTGCAACTAGTTGAGATCAGTGGTCCCAGGCTAGCAACAAATGTGGCCTATTAAAACTCTGAAAGAAGAACTCCAACAATTTAATAAAATCTCTATAGGCAAATAAGTAGTAAAAAGGGAGAAAGAGGAAGAGTCCAGCTGATTAAATTTAAAAATTGGATGTGCACATGGAGGCAGGCAGCATGCTGAGGTGCCAAATGACTACTTTGTATGTGTCTTAACCAAGGAAGAAACAACTATGAAAGTCATATTGAAAGCAGAGGTAGTTAACAATGAGCGAAAAAAAAAAAGATGAACAGCTGTTATGAAGTCAGGTTGTACTTAAAGTTGCTCAGTCTCCGGGACTGTGCTGGCAACTACAGGTCAGTCAGTTTAATCTTGGTGATGGGAAAGCTTTTGGAAATCACCATTCAAGACAAAAATATCAGGCACTTAGACAAATATGGATTAATTGAGGAAAGCTAGCATCAATTTATTAAAAATCATGTTTAACTAACTTGATTGAGTTGTTTCACGAGGCAGTAGAGATGGTAGTCGAGATTGATGTGGTTTGCATGAAAGGCGTTTGCTAAAATGCCATGTAATATATTTGTAAGCAACCTTGAAGTCTCTTGACTCAAAGTGTCAGTGGCAGCAGGGACTGATTGATGTTATTTGTTGCTCTGGAGAAATTTTGTAGAGTGGGTTCCCAGGATTCAGTACCCAGGCTGCTGCATTTCTATGTATATTAAAATCTTAGACCTCGTTATACAGTGCCCAATTTCAAAATTTGCAGATAGCTCATTATTTGTAACTTTATTAATGAACTAGATGAGTAAACTAAATGTAATATCTCCAAGTTTGCAGATGGCACAGAGCTGGGTGGGAGGCTGTACTGTGAGGAGGGTGCAAAGATGCTCCAATGTGATTTGGATCAGTTGATTAGGCAAATGCATGGCAAACGAAGTATAATGTGAATAAATGTGAGGTTATCCACTTTGTAGCAAAAGCAGGAAGGCATATTATCTGAATCATGATAGATTGGGCAAGGGGGAAGTACACTGAGACCCGGCTATCCTTGTACAGCAGTTGCTGAAAGCAAGCACGCAGGTGCAAAAGGCAATGAAGAAGACAAATAGTACGTTGGCCTTCTTAGTGAGGGAATTTGAGCACAGGAGCAGGGATGTCTTGCTGCAGTTGTATAAGGCCTTGATGAGATCACACCTGGAATATCATGTGCCGCTTAGGTCTCCTTATCTGAGGAAGGATGTTATGGCTTTGGAGGGACTGCAATGAGGACTGATTCCTGGGTGGGCAGGATTGATATATAAAGAGAGACTGGTTCAGTTAGGACTGTATTCACTGGAGTTCAGAAGAATGATGAGGAATCTCACTTTAATCTTTTTTTTGTAAGTCTATAATAGTAAGTAAGATGAGGGCTTTTTAAAAGTGCTTATGCTGTGATCTCTCTCTTGATTGACCTTTAATATTAAGGATTGGTATTAAGTTATCCCAGGGCAGTGTTTTTGATCAGTAAGACTGTGCTAATGCTCATTTTTGAGAAAATTGTGTTGTGTTTGTTCTTAGGTAATTTCTGGGTCAATAGATTGTGAAAGGGGAAGAAATGGCTTTTAATAGGGTGATGTGCTCTTCCTGTAAGATGTGGGAGATCAGGGATAATTTGAATGTTCCTGGAAACTATGCCTTCAGGAAGTGTGTTTGGTTGCAAATTCTATCTGACTGCGTGGATCGGTGAGAGCGGCAGTTACAGGCAATAAGGAGGTGATGAGAGCAAGGAGGTGTGATGGATGGCAGTTTCAGGAAGGTAGAAAAACTGCAGATTCAGTCAAGAAGATGGTTGACTAGTAGGAGAGGTAGTCAGGTAATGCAGGAGTCTCCTGTGGGTATTCCTATCTCAAACAGGTATGACATTTTGGATACAGTATGGGGTCAGCCTCTCAGGGGAGTATAGCACCAAGAGCCAGGTTTCTGGTACTGTGACTGCTCTACTATAATGAGGGGTATGTAATGTCATGTAATGTCATGTTCCAAATGCTCAATTGTAATAAGGAACTCTCTAGTCTGGGGCACAGACAGACGTTTCTGTGGTTATCAGCAAGACATCAGGATGGCGTGTTGCCTCCCTGGTGCCAGGATCAAGGATGTCTCGGAGAGAGTGCAGGATATTCTGAAAAGGGAGAGTGACCAGCAGGAGGTCATTGTGCACATTGATATCAATAGCATAGGTGGGGAAAGGGATGAGGTTCTGCAGAGAGAATACAGGAAACCAGGCAGGAAGTTAAAAATTAGGTCCTCCAGGGTAGTAATATCTGGACTGCTATTGGTGCCATGTGCTAGAGAGAATAGGAATAGGAGGATAGAGCAGATGAATGCATGGCTGAGGAGCTGGTTCAGGGGTAAGGATTTATATTTTTGGATCATTGAGATCTCTTCAGGGGGTAGGAATGACCTGGATAAGAAGGATGAGTTCCACCTGAATTGGAAGAGGACCAATATCCTTGTGGGGAGCTTTGCTAGTGCCCTGGGGAGGCTTTAAACTAGGAACCTGGGCGGGGGGGGGGGTGTTGGTGTGGAGGGGGGGGGGGGGGGGGGGGGGGGGATGGGGGGGATGTGTGGGAGGAAACCAAAATAATAGTGAGAAAAGAGAAAAGGCCGAGACTGGTACAGTAGGTAAGGGGAGCAAATTGAATAGTCAAGGTAGGCAAGAGCTTGGCACAGAACGAGGTAAGACTGATAAATTCTTTACTTCATTGCAAAAGGCTTTACTGGGGTATTATAGCTATTACAGGAACGTGGCTCAGGGACGGACAGGACTGGCTGCTTCATTTCTGGAGTATAATCCTATAGGAAGGGTTTTGGCCCGAAACGTTGATTTTTGTGCTTCTCGATGCTCTCTTACCTGTTGTGCTTTTCTAGCTTCACGTCTATTGACTATAAGAAGGATAGAAAGGGAGGCAAGAGAGGAGGGGGAGTGGCATTTTTGGTGAGGGATAACATTACAGCTGTACTTAGGCAGGATATTCCTGGGAGATTGTCCAGTGAAGTTATATGGATGGAACTGAGAAATAAGTAAGGGGTAGTCACCTTGTTGGGATTGTATTATAAAACCCCCAATAGTCAGTGGGAAATTGAGAAACAACTATGTAAGGAAGATCTCTGATATCTGTAAGAATAACAATGTTGTAATGGTAGGAGATTTTAACTTTCTAAACATAGACTGGGATCGTCATAGTATTAAGGGCTTGGATGGAGAGGAATTTAACTGTTTACAAGAAAACTTCCTTATTGAGCATGTGGATGTTGCTTCGAGAGAAGGAGCAAAACTTGACCTTCTGTTGGGAAATAAGGCAGGGCAAGTGACTGAGGTGTCGGTGGGGGAGCACTTTGGGGAAAGTGATCATAATTCTATTAGTTTTTAAAATAGCTATGGAAAAGGAAAGGACTGATCAAAATGTTAAATTTCTAATTTGGAATAAGGCCAATTTTGATGGTATTAAACAAGAACTTTCAAAAGTTGATTGGGTGGATATTCGCAGGTAAAGGGACGGCTGGGAAGTGGGTCGCCTTCAAAAATGAGATAATGCAAATCCAGAGACAGTATGTTCCTGTAATTGCAAAGTGCGAGGCTGGCAGATGTAGGGAATGCTGAATGACCAGAGAAATTGAGGCTATGGTCAAATAAAAGAAGAATGCATATGTCAGGTATAGACACGAGGGATCGAGTGAATCCCTAGAGGAGTATAAGGGCAGTAGCAGTATATTTAAGAAGGAAATCAGGACGGCAAAAAGTGAGATGAGATAGCTTTGGCAAATAGAGTTAAGGAGAATCCAGAGATTCTATAAGTACACTAAGGGCAAAAGAGTAAATAGGGAGAGAATAGGGCCCCTTAAAGATCAGCATGGCCATCTATGTGTGGAACACAGGAGCTGGATGACGTAGTATTTACTTTGGAGAAGGATATGTAAGCTAGAGTACTTGGGGAAGTAAATCGTGATGTCTTGAAAAGAGTTTGTATTACAGAAGAGGAGGTGCTGGGGGTCTTAAAACACATAAAGATAAGTAAATCAGGTGTATTCCAGAACTTTGTGTGAAGCTAGGGAAGAGATTCCTGGGTCTCTTGCTGAGATATTTGCATCATTGACAACACAGGTGAGGTGCCAAAAGATTGGAGGTTGGCTAATGTGAGAAAAGTAGTAATGCATTTGTAAAGGCGTGGACCGATTAGGGATAATCAACATGACTTTGTGCATGGGAAATCATGTCTCACAAACCCGAGTGAGTTTTTTTAAGAGGTGACAAAGAAGATTGATGAAGGCAAAGTGGTAGAAGTTGTCTGTATGGACTTCAGCAGAGCATTTGACAAGGTTCTGCATGGTTAGTTAGGTTAGATCACATGGGATCTGGGGGAGCTAGCCAAATGGATTGGCTTGAAGGTAGGAGACAGAGGTTGGTGGTAGAGGGTCGCTTTTCGGACTGGAGGCCTGTGACCAGTGGCGGGCCATAAGTATCAGTGCTGGGTCCCTGCTTTCTGTCATTTATATAAATAATTTGGATGTGAATAAAGGAGGTTTGGTTAATAAATTTGTATATGATGCCAAAATAGGTGGTGTAGTGGACAGTGAAGAAGACTATCTCCGAGTACAATAGGACCTTGATCAGATGGGCTAATGGGCCAAGGAGTGGCAGATGGAGTTTAATTTAGATAAATGTGAGGTGTTGCATTTTCGTAAGGAAAACCAGGGCAGGACTTACACAGTTAATGGTAGGGCCCTGGGGAGTGTTGTCAAACAAAGAAGCCTAGGATAGCAGGTACATAGTTCCTTGAAAGTGAAGTCGCAGGTAGACAGGATGGTGAAGAAGGTGTTTGACATGCTTGCCTTCATTGGTCAGGACATTGAGTACAGGAGTTGGCATACAATTCTGGTGACCCTTTCATAGGAAGAATGTTGTTAAACTTGAGAGGGTGCAGAACGAATTTACAAGGATGTTGCTGGGACTATAGGGTTTGAGTTATCCGGAGAGGCTGAATAGGCTGGGACTATTTTTGCTGGAGCATCAGAGGCTGAGGGGTGACCTTAATAAGGTTTATAAAATTATGAAGGGCATGGATAGGGGAGTCCAAAACTAGAGGGCATAGGTTTAAGGTGAGAGGGGAAAGATATATAGAAGGGACCTGAGGAGTAACTTTTTCACACAGATTGTGGTGCGTGTATGGAACAAGCTGGTGAAGGTGGGTACAATTACAACACTTAAAAGGCATCTGGATGAGTATATGAAAAGAAAGGGTTTGGAAGATTATGGGCCAAATGCTGGTAAATGGGACTAAGTCAGATTAGCATACCTGGTCGGCACGGATGAGTTGGACCGAAGGGTTTGTTTCCATGCTGTAGGACTATATGACTAATCAGGGTAAATGCATGAAGATGTTCTTGATGACCGGGAATCCAGAACCATGGGCCACATTTTGAGAGTACTAGATATCGTGATTTAGGAATGAGATGAGAAATTTCTTCACTGGGTGAGTGGTGAGTCTGTGCAATTCTCTGCTACAGATAGTGGTTGAAGCCAAAACGTTGAATGTTTTCAAGGAGTTAGATATAGTTCTTAGGGCTAAAGGGATCAAAGCATATGGGACACAACAGGAACAAGTATTCGGATTGGTAGATCAGCCATGGTCATATTGAATGGCAGAGAAGGTTCGAAGGAAAGAATGGCCTCCTCCTTTTTTTGTATATTTCTATGTTTCTTTCAAGATAGTGATTAACATGAAGAGGACATTGACAGTGGAACGGGCAGTCATGTGGCAGATTAAATTTGATGTCGAGAAATTTGAAGTGATAAGTTTTGGCAGGAAGAACAAGGAGGGTCAGTGCTAAATAAAGAGTGTAATTCTAAAGGGCTCCAGCAGCAAAGAGATCTGGGACACATTTATACAAGTCATTGACAGTGGTAGGCTAGGTTGAGGTAGTGATTAAAAAGGCATATGGGATTTTAAGTTTAATAAATAGAAGTATAAAGTACAAAAGCAAGGAAATGATGATGAACTTTATAAAACACTGGTTCAGCCTCAACTGAAATATTGTGCTTAATTTTGGGAAGTGCACATTAGAAAGGGTATGGAAATTTTAGTAAGTACAGAAAAGATTTGCAGGATTGGTTCCAGGGATGAGGGACTTAATTTATGCGCATAGATTAGAGAAGGGAGGGTTATTCTCGGAGAATAGGAGGGGAGGAGGAAATTTGACAGAGGTGTTCAAACTTAATAGTGGTTTAGAGAGATTAGCTAGACAGAAATTGTTTCTATTTTTAGAAGGCCAAGACATAGAGGACGGAGATAAATGGTGAATGGCAAAACAAAAACAACAGCAACATGAATTTTTTTATGCAGGGAGTGATTATGATCTGCAGTTTAAAATTATGTCATATAGTTAACCCCTAATACTGATGAACTTTGATGTGAGGAACCATGCTTCCTCCTACGCCACTTTGTTGTTTTTCCTCATCACAGTGGCACTCTTAGACATTATAGCATAAAATAATAGCCGATTATTACTGAAGGAGCTTATCACTGGTTTTATGTTCTGCTTGATTTTTGACTAATATTTTGCTAAATTATAACCAGTATAAATGTTTCTTTAACCTTTCTTTCTTGTTTACTGACAAAGTAATTCTGTTCCATAGCTTACCAACCACAACAGTTACCCCAAGGAGCAGGGGGATCAACTTATTATCAACCACATCAGCCTTCTGCACCTCCACCTCCTTCTTCCTACCCGTCTGCATATTTGCCTTCTGTTCCCTCTCATTCTTTGCCTCCTTCTGTGGCCCCTCCATATGCAGGACAGCCACAAACAGCCTCTACAGCACCTAGTTCTGCCTCTTCTTTTCCTCCTCTCTCTGGAGCATCCTATCAGCATGGCGGACCTGGAGCTCCAGCACCTTCTGTGGGCTATTCACCAGCATCTGGACCAACAGGTACACTGCCTGCGAGTAATGAGCTGCCTGCCTCTCAAAGAACAGGGTCTGTTGTTGTTAGCATGTTGCTTTTATTGTTTTTGTTTGGAATGCATTTGGCGTTTATCGTTGTAAGACTGGCAACAATTTAGGTCTCTGCTTCATATGAGTTGAAATACAGGTGAAGAAAGCATGGCTATCTTTAAAATAGGTTCATCTTTGTGAAAACTAATTGGCTGAACTAATTTTGTTTGTTCACAGATAGAAGTGCATGCTGTGTACATGGTAAAAATGATGCATGCTTTCATTTATCTCCATTTTGACCATATCTGTTTTTCATAAAAGTAGTAAACTTCACATACATACAGTATTGCATGATGATGATCCATATGATGATAGAATGTAAACACTGAAATGTTGCATGTCCCTGCTGCGCTTTGTTTTCGGTCAACTAATATAGACTTTCAGTTCTTATAGTTTCTGCAATGCCTCAAGGAGGAGGGCAATTTAAGTTAGAATGCCATCAACTGGTCTTTTATCTTCACTAGCATGTCATCTCAATGGTTGAAACATAAACTCTTTTAATATCACATTTTCAGCAATTATTTGAACAAAGGCAAGTACTTGGCTTGTTGAGACTACCCACCACTGTTGTGCACAATGGTAGTTCTACCTTTTTAATTCCCATTCCCCCTCATTTTTCTCCATATTCTTTGATTTTACTTCCCAAGTGCATAACAGCCTCTATGCTAAATACCTCAGTGTGCAATCAGTGGCCTTCTAGCCAAAGCATTTTCACAATTCTTTGTGTGAAAGTAAGTTCTTTGCTTGGATTTTCTTTCAATCACTTTTCTTCAAAGCCTTAAGGTCCTGTTGTAAAATAACAGCTGAATGGGAAAGTTATTATCTTCATTATCTTAAACCAGTTAATCAAATCACTTTTTGGTTTAGGGTAGTTCTCTCTCCTCTGAGTCGGATGATTATGGCTTCAAGTTCCACTCTTGAAACCTGAGCACATAATCTAGGGACACACTGTAGAGAGGGCTACATTGCTGGAGGTGTAGGTCTTTCAGTTACTTTGTCAAACCTGGTCCTGCCTGCTCTCTTCGGTGGTTGTAATTCATCCAATGACAATATTTGAAGAGCAAGGAATTCCCCTCCTGTACTTGTTAGTATGTATCTCTCAAACAACATCGCATCATGTATCTCATTGCTGTTTGTGGAACCTGGTTATGTGCAAATTAGTTTCTGCATTTTGCTAAATTATAAGTGTGAGCACCTCTAATGCATTTAATTTGCCGTAAAGTGTTTTGCAACATTCTGAGATTGTGAAAGGTGCTGTAACATTGCATGTTAGTTACTTGAATCCTTTAAGCCCATCATGTCCAAGGATTATAACACAAGTTTACTCAGTGTCTCATTATGACTGAATTTCTTCACATCAGTTGCCGTTGTTCTACTTTGAGGCCAAAACTTTCAGAGAACAATATTCTGATTAAATCTGACCAACCCCCTGGAGTAGGTCATCATCATAGGAAGTGTACAATATTAAAATAAGGAAGTCCAGCACCTCATTAGTCTATTTGATCACTTTTTGCTGTTGTGAATTGGCTTTTAATTGCTTATGTACCTGAATCGCAAGTTTGTAGAACTTTTCTGTTTGTAGTTCGCAGCTTTATCAATCTTGCATTCAGAGGAAACCATCTCTCAATTTTACAGATGCTGTTTCATATAATCTCCCTAGGTTTATTCAAACAATGTCTATTTGCAGTTTGTTTTAATAAACATGTATTTGGGTTACATCATAAATTCAGGCACTGCTCTAATTCTACCCTCTTCACATTCCAAATTTCAAGTGCTCTGTTATTGGTGGCCGTGCCTTTAGAGTCCGAACACTAAGTTCTTTAGTTTCCTCCGTAAACTCTTATGTTTCTCTCTACCTTGTTTCCCTCCTCTAAAACATTCTTTAAAAGCTAGTTCTTTGCTTTTAGTCATGTGCTGTAAAATCTCCTTAGTGGCTTGGTATTGTAGCTCATTTCATATTGCTCCTATGAAGTGCCTTTATTTATGAAGCATCTATATGTCTACAGCACCTTTTGACGTATTAAAACAAGTTGTTGATGAATTCAGGGGTGAGGATCATTGGGTTATTAATTGTAGAGTACAAATTTTCTAAAGCATATCTTTAGATTAATGTCATCTGAATATTTGGTTTCTTTCTCATTTCTATTCCAAACTTCAGATCAAGACCTTATGGCCTCAGTACTAATTCCTGAGACACATTAATCCACAAATGTCCTTTCTCTGCATTTTATTCTATTTTCCTTCAGTCAGCTACCCAGTCTAATTCTGAATGTTGATTTGAGGAAGAAAGTAAAAAAATTGCCCTGTTTTAGAAATGCAGCCATGTGGCATTCAACCCTTACACAGCAAGCTCCATATACAACAATTAGATAAATTACTGGATAGTGTATTTCAGTGATGTTGCTTGAGGGATAAATGTTGACCAGGTAAGTAAAACAACTGTGCTATTTCTCAAAATAGTGTTTCAAAATCTTTTCTTTTCACTTGAGGGCAAGAATAGAATTTTTCAAGAAGGTGATTAGGTGTGTAGCAGGGTAGTACAGTTGATGTACTTTACATGGACTTCAGTAAGGAGGCTGACAAGGTCTCGCATTGAAGAAGGTAAGAACCAATGGGATCTAGGGCAATTTGCCTGGAGTATTTCAGCTATGAAAGAGACTAGATAGGCTGGGGTTGTTTTCCTTGGAGGAGAGAAGGCTGAAGGAGGAACTGATGAAGGTGTACAAAATTATAAGGCATCGTTAGAGTAGGTAGAAACAAACATTTCCCCTTAGTAGAGGTATCAGTAACCAGAGAGCATTGATTTAAGGTAAGGAGCAGCAGGTTTGAAGGTAATTTAGGGAAAATCTTTTTCACACAGAGGGTGATGGATATCTGGAACTCACTGCCTTGAAGGATAGTAGAAGCTGAAACCTTCACAACATCTAAGAAGTATTTGGACAAACGCTTGAAGTGTCAGAGCATTTTTTTGGGGTCAATCATCTCTAAGTGGACTTTACTGCAGGAGTTCCTCAGGACAATGTCCTAAGCCCAACCAACTTCAACTGCTTCAGCAGTGACCTTCCTATCAATGTAGGATTAGAAGTGGCAATTTCTGGTGATGAATGCACAGTATTCAGCACCATTCCTGACCCCTTAGATACTAAAGCAATCTGTTTTCTCTACAGCAAGACCTGAACAATATTCAAGCTTGGCCTTATATTTGCATCATACAAGTCAAGAGCAGTAAACTAATACCTCTTGACACTTAATAGCATCAGTATTGGCGATTTCCACTACACTCCCCCTCCCCCAAGTCCTGTCAGTGTTGACTACAAACTGAACTGGACAAGCTGCATAAATAGTATGGTTACAAGAACAGGTCACAAGCTGGAAATTCTGAGGCAACTATTTTGCTTTATGCCTGTTCACCTTCTACATGAGCATGATGGATTATGCACCAATTGCCTTATGAGTGCAGCCTTCAACAACACTGAGGAACCTTATCACAACCTTGGTGAAATCAACCTGCTTGATTGGCATCCTATCCAGAACCTTAAAAAGCACTCCCTCCAGAATACAGTGGCAGCAGTGTGTATCGTCAGCAAGATGTGCTGCAGCAACTCGCAAAGGTTTCTACAACAGCACTTTCTAAACCCATGACACCTGATATGTACAACAAAGGCGGCATGCAGATGGGAATGGAACAGCCTTTATGTTTCCTTCTACATTTCACAGCAGCTGCATTCAAATATACCACCACTTCTTCATTGTCACTGAATCAAAATCCTGGAGTTTCCAACGTAACAGGGATGGTGAACCTACACTCAAAATTACAGTTGTTCAAGAAGGCAGCACAGCATTTCCTCAAGGACACTTAAGGTTAGGTGATAAATGTTGTGCTTACAGCAAACTCCATATCCCTCTAATTAATGAAAAGGAGTATTGTGGAGAGGTTCAGTGGAGCAAAGTTCATCCACATATTGAATTGCAGACTGTCCAGTGATATGAAAGGGAAATTTGACAGAGGAGTCAATTTGAGCTGCATTACAGATTGAATGAATTAAGTTCTTGTTTCACATTCCACAGCTGAATTTCTTTTAATGGCTGAGTTGAGGAAGTCTGTGAAGAAAAATGTAAATTAATTTTTAAATTAAGCTATGAGAAGCCACCTTCTTGTATTACTCCATTTATTCCATGAGGTGATGAATGATATTCCATTTATTCCATGAGGTGATGAATGATATTGATGCCATTTGTGGGGTTGACCTGATGCTTTCCTCTTCTCGACCATTGTCAGTTAATGGCCATCAGCCATCCCACCAAATGCAGCAATTTACTGAACTCAGTTAATCGGAGAGACAAATGCCTGATATGGGCGACTGGATTAATTCCAGAGTTGTATTGCAGTGAGTTGGTATTCTCATTATGAACTGTATTATAAGATAGTTTTTGGTGCATTCATATGCAGGAAGACAGCAGCCCTCTGTAAATTCACTCATGGTTCAACCACTGTCCCAGCTAAGGCTGTGTGGAGAACATCAATGCAGAAAAACAGAAGGGCACAAATTTTATTCATTTTCAGCAGTTTTCAGATGTCCGAGATGTTAGAACTGCTGTCTTTTCAAATAAGCGTAAACACCATGTTGAAAATTTTTGTGTTACAGTTCCATATATTCTTCTGTGCTGTTGGATTAAAAAGCAGAGGCATTTATTTACCATGAAAAACTTTTGTTAAGAGTTGCTTAAGATTTTTCTCTCCGTTTAGCTTTCCTGGTTGCTGTTGAGAAGGTGGTGGTGAGCTGCCTCTTGAACTGCTGCAGTCCACCTGCTGTGGGTTGACCCACAATGCCGTTAGGGAGGGAATTCCAGGATTTTGACCCAGTGACAGGGAAGGAAAGGCAATATATTTCCAAATCAGAACGGTGACTGGCTTGGAATGAAACCTGCAGGTGATGGTGTTCCCAAATATCTGCTGCCCTTGCCCTTCTTAATGAAAGTGGTCATGAGCCTGGAAGGTGCTGTCTAAGGGCGTTTGGTAAATTTCAAACTCATAATGTAAAATGCATTCCACTTGCTTTAGAAACAATATAAAACCCAGAAATGTGCGACTCCCATTATGCTACAAAGTCACTGAAGTTCCAACAGATCAGGCTTGCATTGTTTTTTTTCAGTGCAAACACTACCACATTCACTTTGGAGCTGTTTACATACTGAATGTGGGTTGTCAGGACCCATACGCTGTGTGCTTCTACTGTAGCTGAGGATATACTTTGTGTGGCAAGAGGATTGCCACTGTGAAGTACTTAGAGTTTTTGACAGATTGAAAGAAATTCATTAAAATACTAACTAGAGTTTCCTATTTTTAATTTTAAAAATTCTAAATAAACAACTTACGAAGAAATACTGAACAGAGAGGTGTGTTTTTGCTCTCGGAGAATTTGATTTGTTTTATTAATGCACAGTATTGAGTCATCCTCCTATTTGTTTCCTCTAAACATTAGCATATACTAAATTACAAAATAATTCAGAAATTAGATAAGGCATGTCTTCTGCATTTTTTGTTCTGAATTTACTTTGCTTCTATCTACAGGAGACATGTATTCTCAGGACCAAACTACTTCCTTAGAAGGTGAACTAGAGTTAGTAAAAAAAAAAAAAAAAAATTACTCTAGAAACCTCAGTTAATTTGGGAATAATTTTTTTCTAATCCAAATGAAATCCTAATGATGCTGAATTTTAATTAAATCAATGAAACAGATCATTTGTAATACTCCTTTGATTGTAACCCCAGCACCCCTCAATGGATTTAGTTTAAAGTTAAAGTAGTATACCAAATATAGCCCGTTTTTAAGTGTGTACTTTTCGTAGTGTTGCTTGGCACTAATGTAGCTTACAAATGCTGCTGACTTGCATTCTGTTTTGATAGCACTCTCATTAATAATTACTAATGGAATGACAAATGAACAGATACAAAGATAATCCTTAAAATGTACTGTTTGTCAGGAAGATCAAAAGCCATTTGCCAGGTGTCAAAATTCTGCTTCTTTCCAAATCGTTCTCTCCTCTGCCTCCCTCTAAATCAAATTTTGCTTCACTTGGTGCGATTAGCTTAATCTATTCAACTTTCTGCAGAAAGCGGAGTTTGTACAGCCATAAATATAAAATTGTCCCTTCTCCTGAATTGATGCTGTCAGACATAGGATTTTTGAAAGCCTTGGAAGAATCGTATCTAATCATGGTTGTTAGGAACACAATGGTATGCGATTATGTTTTAAAATGATCTCGAATGTGTTTGGATGAAATGCTAGTAAGTATAATTTAGAAGGTTATTATGGAGAACATCAGGGTCCGCTTCCTAGAAACACAACTAAATTCAAGAAATAGAATTCTGTCATACTTGTTAACTGTATGAGGTCTTGATCTTCGCTTTGCATAAGTAAAAGATGTTTTTTATTAGAAAGTTTTCGGACAGTTTATTTTTACTTTCACTAAATAATAAAGATTTGGGAAATAATAACATTTTTCCCTTGGGATGGAAGTGTTTCACACCAGGATAAAGCATTTTCATCCAGTGAAGTTCCGAAACAAAGTCAGGAATCCTTCCTGTTACCCTTTGTGTTGACACAGGCAGGTGACCTATAACTTTGGTGATAGTTTTGTAAAGTTGTGAGCAGATTCAATTGACGTTAATTATTCAATATGGTTGAGTGCTGTGCACATGTTTTGTATGCTGCAACCACTGTGTAAAAATAATAATTTTTAATGAATATTTTAATGAAAATTGGTCATTATTGTTTGGTCATCTTAACATATAAATAATGAGCTGAAGTTGCTTTGTTACATTTCAGGATTCAAAAGCCTGTTGTTCAATTCCTTAGCTTTTAATACTCTCAATTTTCTGCAAGATTCGCTCATTTAATCTTTAACTGGCAAATTGCAGGGCAGAAAAGACTTTTTAAAAAAAATCTTTGCCATAAAGCACGAGTTGCCCCCCACCCCGGGATTCGTCCAGAAGTGTAATTTTTTTAATGCGTTACCAAGGTTTGTAGCTGTAGTGTCTCCACAGTTTCAAACATTGTATTTAGCAGATCAGAAATAGTAAGTGATTACCAGTTTGCTTCAAAGTTTGAATCTTGTGAGAGGATGGGAAGACTGAGTGGACACTGAGTTGCAGGCTGTTGCGCTCCTCTTTAAAATCTCCTGTTCAATTTAAGAGTTTTTTTTCCACATAGTGAGAATGTAAAGAGGACCGTGAGTGTCTGGGATGATTGATTTGATGCTTAGGATATGGCCTACTCCTGTGCTGTAAATTACTGGTTGTCTCTGTGAAAACAAAATTCAGAGGTGAACAGACTGTGGAACTTAATTTACCAATGTATGAAAATCTGGCTTAACAAAAGATTTGATTGCATCATTTAGGAATTCTGAATTATGCTTATGAAAAATTGTTCAATCTTTATCGGAAATCAAATTATTCAGCTATGGCAATAAATAAAACCTTCATTGTATTTAGTAGTTGCAGTGCCTGATTTATGTTAGCAAACTTGCCATGCCAGTGAATAGCAGATGTATTTACACTATAAGCTAACTGCTGCTGTGAAAGAGAGAATTGTAACACTCCTGTCTACATGAACTGATTCAGCTGCATGATCATTTTGAATCTAGCTTCGCTTCTGTTTTCTAAGTATTGAAGCTGTCGATAGAAAAATTGCTACTGGTCTTTTCTGGAGGACTGAGAAATTACTTAAAGCCAAATTATCACCATTACTGCCCCTGACAGTGAGAGAGCTGAATTAAAGCAGACCATTGAAGATCATCAACTGAACAACTTAGTTCCTTCAGTGTTTTCTAAAAACAAATACTGAGAATTGGGAGAAAATAACAAAGTAAGACAAAGGCAATTAATAGCTCTTGGGCAGTAATAGTGATGTTGGCTGTACTAAGAGATAAAAGCACATAAGACCTAGGAGTCAAAGAAGAGGATTAATGCTATGTGTTAGTTTACCCAGTGCTCATGCAGCTCAGTTTAAAACAACATTTCTGTTTCAAAGGACCTCAAAATGGTTGGAATGATCCTCCAGCTTTGAGTCGGATGCCAAAGAAGAAAACCATGGTAATTAAGAAATGTTTGATATTTTTTTGGAAAAAATGGTTATTCTGCGGTTAATAGTAAGGTGATCAAATATGTTGTCAGATGGGGCAGAGTTAGATGGTGAAGGGTAATTATCATAGAATCCCCCCACAGTGTGGAAGTAGGTCATTCGGCTCATTGAGTCCAAACTGACCCTTCGAAGAGCATCCCACCCAGACACACCCCCTACCCCATCCCTGTAACGTCACATTTCCCATGGCTAATCCACCTATTCTGCATGTCCCCGGGACATTATGGGCAATTTCCCGTGGCCAATCCACCTAGCCTGCACATCTTTGGACTGTGAGAGAAAACCAGAGCACCCGAAGGAGACATACGCAGGCACAGGGAGAATGTGCAAACTCCACACAGACAGTCACCAGAGGGTAGAATCGAATCCGGGTGCCTGGCGCTGTGAGGCAGCAGTGATAACCACTGAGCTACCGTGTCGACCAGTTTTATTCAATTTCCAATATGAAGTAGTGCATTCTGTTCTTATTTTTGTTTTACTATGATGAATTTCTTTGTCCAAACTTACAATGACGCTATGTAAACTTGTCACTGTTTTTGCATCATTGTGCCAGAAATGGTACTGCAGTGCCATCGTTAGAAGGTGAATGAAATTCCCACGAGAAGTTTTTTTACACAAGTTTAATTAAACTGCAATCATAAAAGGTTGCAAGAGACAATAAATGCTAAATTGCTCTGTGTTTGATTAGGTGAGTCTATTTACTATTGATGCTTGCTGTGCATGATTGATTAAGCATAGATTTGGACTCAGAAAAGTAAGCAAACTTTAGAAGTTGCTGGAATAAGAGCTAGAAACATGAATGAGCAGACGTTATAGAACACTTAATAAATTTCTGTTTCACACACTTTCCTGTTTCATCTCTGCATACTTAGAGGCATATTAAATCGAATAAACACAGCTGTCAGGAAATGTATGAAATTAGAAGATGGTTCTTGATTTGAGACGGATTTATGTTAAATTATACCTAACAATAAGAGAAATAAAACTTAATGCTGCAAATTTACAACAAGGTAAAAACTTGTTTGGGTCAGAGTGAAAGTTCTATTCACTACTTTGACCTGGTTACAACTCCTTACTAAATCTTGATGAAAAGTCATATAAAACTGTAGAGTAAGGTGCCTGTGTTTGCAGTAGTGCAACATGAACATCCACACAGTGATAAGGTTTAGAATCTCACTGAATTTCCTGCTACTACAAAACATGTTGCCTTTGATTTGAAGACTGCAGTTATTCCAGAGAATAAATCTGTCTCACGCTCCAGTAATGCTGTCATTACACACTAAGAGCTTGGACTTAGATGGTATGAGTGCAGTGAAAATAAGGTTTTAGTCAGACCTTGACATCTCTGAACCCACAAATTTAATGTTATTATGTTGAAAGTTCATTCTATTCGGGGAAAAGACAGATGGTGGAGTTTCCTCCTAATATCACAGCTGGTGATAAATGTTCTCCATCTGAAATTTCGTGTTCATATGATGATGACCTTGATGTATCTTTCCAGTACTTACAATTTTAATTTGAAAAGAGATTTTCATTAATCTGTTGTTTAATGTTGATTGTTTAGGAAAAGCCATTTTTAGATTCCTGCAGAACATGCAACAGAACCTTGGCTGTTTTGTGACTCATTAAAGAATCAAGCTGTTTTGTTTTTGTTCTTAGCAGCCCATTCATTGTTTTAATTACAATATTATGCAGGTACCAGGCAACTTTACTCCTCCTGCACCTATCACAGCTCCTATAATGAACCCAGTTGCAGACCCTCAGGCTCCAATGCAGCATCAGCAACCAACTCCTCCACTGCAGACTTCATTCCCGACTCCCCAGCAACTTTCAAGTCAACCAGCAGTTCAAACCTCATATCAAGGAATGATGCAGCCAATGATGCCAAAGCATAGCACTGAGGAAGCTCCTGGTGCTCCTACTGGTGACATCATGCAGGTACAAGATTTTCCTGAGATTTTAAACTGTGCAATTCTTACATACTGAGCAAATTTCCCTGAGATGAAATTGGATTAATTTGTTATTGCATGTTTGATCCTGGACAGGATAAAATGATATAAACAATATACTTGATACTTTTACAGTTGCAAAAGGTCCTTCATTTGCATAAGCACTTTCCCTTGGTTTCCTTTGAATGAATTAAATTTGCTTCTTTCCCACCATGTCCTATCTCCAAACAAGTGTTAACTTAGATTTAGAACGAAGTTAGCATTTCTTTCTAAGTAGGATGGGTGACTGTCTCAGGTAAAGAAACCAAATAATGGATCAGCCAGACACAGAACGGGAAGCCACCAACTGAAATCTTCCAGAACTTGGGCTACATTAGTAGATACAGATGGAGAATGCATAAGTCTGGAACAACATATGAGTGTTAGAACTGTCAAATAATTTTTGGCAGAAATCTATCCAACGACTGCATGAGCATTTTACAGAGAGTAAGGTGGTTTATTTTGGAAAAAGGTGATCACTTCCTCAGTGCTTTTTGCATTTTGTGCTGCATTTATTTTGCTTTTGAATTTATTTCCCCACTTCTTTTCGTCCCCTTAATTAAGCCACAGCTAATTTCACTATAAGCCATTGGTTATGGCAGGTGTCATTTTACAGTATCTTCTCCGACACAGTTGCCTAAGTAGGAAATCTGGTAACAACCTGCCCCAGTGACAGCGATCGAACTTAATGACTGGAACAGCCCATGACACCTATTGATTGACAACGTTGCTGTATGGAGGTTTTGTGTTGTACGTTTGGTAAAACTAAGACTAGCGCTGCATGCATTAAACAAGAGTTGAGAAAATGTAGCTAATGAGCTAGATTGGAGAAATTGGGGTGCTCTTTTTGGAAAATGAAAGGCATAATCATCCTGAAGAACTATGGGGATTTGGGGGTGGCAGCAATGGACTGACTGAATTGCTCAACGGAAAACTGGCATTGATCCAGTGGGTTAACTGGCCTGCTGTGTCATAATGACTCTGACTCTGTCTCTTTATTTGCTCAGCCAGTACAACCGGTAACCACTGAGAAAATTGCCAAGAAACCCATTCCAGAAGAGCATGCCATTCTGAAGATTATTTTTGAAGGATTGATTCAGCGGTGTATGACTGCAGCTACCGATCCTGTACGTGCTGTCCACAGTTGATTCATTTACCTTTCTTATAGGTAGTTAACAGTTTCTGCTGTTACTAATAGAGACTTAAAAATAGCACATATTTATAGGCTGAGTCTCTTTGAGAATTGTCATTTGTGCAGTAGGCCTGCGCCAGCGCTAACATTGTAAGTGATTTTAAAGTACGAGTCTTTATATTAAACTGTATGGTGAAGATGAACTTTTGGTGGCTCAGGATCCAAATATATATAACATGGTGCAATATTGATTTATACAGATTGGAGTTTGAGTCCTACCACGGTTGTTTTTTTTTGAATTTGGATGGAATATAATATGGGCACTGCAGTTGTTTCCTGGCTGGAAAAAGGGGGAATTGGCCAAGGATTTCGTATCCAGTAAGGACCTCTCCATTGCAAAGTGTAGCTGTGTAAAGGCTAGGTCTGCAGTGAACCATTGCTGCAAATTCGGGCACAAAGAATGGAGATTCAAGAGAAAGGCTTGTAAAGGGTGCTGCGGCTTACAAAATTATACCTGTTTTGGAGGGAGTAAGTCAGGAGAGAAAAGCTGATGGAAACTTGAAATTAGTAAGCAAGTAAAGCACAATTGTGACTGTCAGAAAATAATAGCATACTTATTTTAATTAAAGATTTTTCTGCTGCTATTCAGTTATTTAGTAGATCATAAAATTTTGTTTGTTCAGCAAACCAAGAGGAAGCTAGATGATGCAAACAAGCGATTGGAGTCTCTGTATGATAAGCTACGGGACCAGGTGGTAAGTAACCAAATATGAACTGCTTGTTTTTTATATCGCACTTTGTGACATAATGGGCCCCTCATTTCCTGCAGCATGGCTCTTGCATAGCTTACATAGACCAAGGATAAATATGGTTATTTCTCTCTTTCCTCCCTCCTCCAGAAAAAAAACCCTGCATTATCTGAAGAGGCAATAATATATATTTCCTAATTTCCATGTAATTGCACTTCCACACCACCGCTTTCCACCCTCTTCTGAAGCCAGTGTGAAAGAGCATCGGTGGTGGAGGGACTGAATGTTTTGGATGTGCTGCTTTATGCTAGATCATTTTGTTTTTTTGAGTATTGTTGGAGCTGCATTCACCTAGGCAAATGGGGAGTATTCTATCATACTTTTAATTTATGTACTGGGGATACAGGAGATGAGTTACTTGCTGCAGTTGTTCTAACCTCTTATCTGTTCTTGCAGTCACTGTTTTTATATGGCTGGTCCAGTTCCTGGTCAATGGTAACCTCCATGATTTGACAGTGGAGTATTATGGGATAGTGACTTGAATGTCAAGGGACAATGGTTAGATTAATTTTGGGGGATAGTCATTGCCTGGCATTTTTGTGGCGCAAATGTAACTTGCCACTTTTCAGCCCAGGCTTGGATATTGTTCAGATCGTGCTGCATTTGGGCATGGTCTGCTTCAGCATGCAACCACTTCTTAAATCTGACAACCAACAAAATTGTTGTTCCCTTTGCAATTTAATTTTCTTGCATCTGTTTTCATGAGTGCAACAGGAAAACCTTCCATAGTATGTCGTTTTTCAGGAAGAATCCATTTATAAGAAAGTCCTGACAATGCACTTAGAAAATCATAGTATGATCACACGGAATAAACATGGTTTCATGAACGTAAAATTGTGTTTGATAAACTTAAGAGTTTTTTTGATTAAATAATTATTGGGGGAGATAAAGAGGAGCTAATAGATGTAGTGTACTTGGATTTCCAAAAGGCATTTGATAAAGTGTCAGGCAAAAGGTCCATACATAAAATTTAAGGGCATATGGAGTTGGCATCATTACGTTAGCATGATTGGAAGATTGGGTAATGGACTTAGAGTGGCGAATGGGCATAAGGTAACATTTTCAAGTTTGCCGGCTGTATCTAGTGGAATGTCGCAGGAATAAATACTGTGATATTAGCTATTTACAATCAATGTTAAAGACTTGGACAAAGATCAAATATTAATTAACAGGTAGCTAATATGTCAAAGCAAAGAAAAGGTAGTCTTGCATTAACTAATACAACCAAAATAAACCTTACTAAACTGTTTTATTTTGTGTAACACTTCTGGCGGATATATAACATTAATGGAGCCATCCCAATTTCACATCCTACTCTCCAATGGAAGGTGATCTCTTCTGAACAGCCCACGTCAAAACTTCCAGTTTTATTTTGACAGTTATTCCATGCCATCCAGGTTTTCCTGGATATAATTATCACCGGCAAGGTACACTTCAAACAAACTCCCTGTTCTAAATTGTCAAGAGCCCCATCTGATCTGTTCCCTTCCTTTTGAAAAAGAAGCAAATTCTTCTGGGCATCCTGAAAACCCTTTAACACAAGATAGTGCTCCTTCCTATTCTACACCAATAATTTATTTGTTCCTGTTTCTCAAAAAGCAGTGTCCTTTGTCTTTGAGATAAAAGTGTACCCCACCCTCCCTGTTTTCAGAACATATTGCTTTAAGCTAAGGGGGATTTTAAAAATAAAATTATAGTGTTCAGCATTCATGACATTTGACAATAAACATTGCTTCATTAGTTGAACTATGTTTGTGATTCCTCTCTATTTTGATTATAAATCTCAATAACCTGTTGACAAATCTGATGCGATCTTCTGGGAAAAACGTCCTTTAGGAGTCATAACTTAGCCATTAATAATAATGTGAAGATCACCAAGTAGCCTCATTAATCTTGCCGCTGATGAACTGGTAATGACACAGTCAAAGAAATATGTTCTTGATGTTAACATTTTTCTTCTTTTTCTTACAGCTCTCACCAGCCATAATTGGTGGCTTACACAACATAGCAAGGAGCATTGAAACTCGGAACTACAGTGAGGGATTAAACATCCACACACACATAGTCAGCACCAGTAACTTCAGTGAAATCTCTGCTTTCATGCCAGTCCTGAAAGTGGTTCTCACTCAGGCTAATAAACTAGGTGTTTGATTAAATAAGCCATGATTGAGAAAAGAAAGTTGTGTACTTTAAAAAGTAAATATTGGCCAAACCTATGTTGGTTTAGATTAAAATGAAAATCCGAGCAAAGACCATTTGAATACCCATATAATTAATGGGGATAAATTTCATTCCATATTGCATTTTTTCGCTGTCTTGCCACTGTGCTTTTATATGAGGCAAACATTCCAATGTATAATCAGATAATATGAATTCAGTGGCAATGCATTCAATCTTTTAAATGTCTATATTGCCTGTTTTAAAAAAAAATTGCCATTAAATTATGTGACCTACATAGGACAAATTGAATCCATACAGTATTGTAATAATCCAGATGCATGCATTACTGATCAAACTAGAATACAGGTTTATGTGCCACTAACTTATTTTGTGTGGCAAAGTGTACTTTAATGGAAAGAAGTGTAAAGCTTTGTCTAACACCAATGCAGACTGGAAGAGTATGCTGTATGTACTGGAAGAAGATACTTTACCTTATGGCTTAGTCTCTGGAAGAAGTTGAAACAGCAGCTTGTCCTTCCCTGTGTTCATTTTATGATTCAGAAGTACACCTACAATTCATCTTTTAAATAAAGATTAATTTATTACATTCATTGTCTTTTCTTTTTCTGTTAAGCTAGTCATAAGTCAATGCAGCTAAATGTTAGGACAGTATATTTGGCAGATAGTGCTGACTGTTAACAGCAGAATCAGGAGACCCCTATAGTTCAGGATAATCCAGCTACGAGTTATTCTCTAGAGCATTTTGTTGTGCGGTTAAAGACGAAAACAAACGGTACATTTTACTGAAAGATGTTCTTATGCAGTTGCACAGACCCACTCTCACTTTTGGCTTAGTGCAGTACTGTTGATTGTTTTCTATTTGAAACAATCCACATACTATATTCTAGGAAAATAAGTGGGAAGCTCTCTTATTCCAATCATTATTGAAGCCTCAAATAAATGAACTAATCTTCTTTATTTATAAGACAGATCAAAATTTCCATAACAAGCTGCATGTTTCCCACAACCCACCTCTCCTCCCACTCTAATGAGGATAGTCACTGAACCATAAGATTTCCAGATTATGACTCTATAGCTAATGAAAACCACTCTTGAAGGAAATTGTGCACATTCAGAGTAAACTTGAGATTTTTGAAGCATTCAAACTAGTTGCAAACTTTAGCTCATCAAGAGGACAGTGACCACATCACAAGCCAAATTAAGAGCCATTAATTTTTACATAGGTGTGCATTATGCACTTAAGGTTTCATTTTGTTCAAATGTAGTCATATGCATCGTTTTAAAATTATCTTTTTAACAATGTCTGATGCTGTGAAATGCAATTTGCAATATAATCAACTGTCTCATTCTTTAAATTCTGATCAATGCTTTGAGCTGAAGATCATCAGTGTATTTGTCTTTTTCTTCATGTAAACTGTCTGACCTGTTGATTATTCCCAGCATTTTGTGTCTTTATTCTTCCTTTCTACTCCATCCGAATCATTGCTAAAGATAGTTGCTTTGTTATTGTCAGAAAACTCTTAAGTGACCTACACAGTCTTTTCAAACTCAGCTTAAGAAAACTAACAATTCCTCAGCAATATAAAATTTTGCTTCTTTACAACAAAAATCCTTGGCCTTTGTTGTGTGATCATCAACTTTGTGCTAAATATGGCATAACCTAATTTAAGAACTGGTTGAGATAGCCCAAATTCAGCAACAGCTATTTCCAAATGTAATTAAATATGTATGTTCCTCACTTGTTCAGTTTTTGCATTCAAGTGAAGAGTCCATCATCTGCAGAGTGCTAGAGATAAATAAAGCTACAACATAAAATAGGTCATTTAGCCTAATTAGACCATGGCAGTGTTTACCTTCCATTTGCAAACATAGTTTTTAAAAAATTCTTTCATGGGATATTAAAGACAGCATTTATTGTTTATCCCTAAATGCCCTTGAAAATATGGTGATTTGCTGCTGCATTTATGCCCACAGTATTTTTAGGGAGGAGTTCAAGGATTTTTACCCAACAACATTAAAAGAAGAGCAGTATATTTCCAGGTCGGAATGGTAACTAGTTTGGGTGGTGGTGGTGGTGGTGGGAGGGGGGCTTTTCAGGTATGGTGTTCCCATATGCATACTGTGCTGTCCTTTTAGGTGATGGAGACTGTTAGTTTGGAAGGTGCTGTTGAAGGAGCCTTGGTAGATTGCTGTGGTGCATCTTGTAGGTGGCACACACTGAAGGCGCAATGTATTGTTGGTGGGGGGAGTGAATGTTGAAGATGGTGGATGGAGTGCCAATCAAACAGGTCCTGCTTTGTCCTGGATGCTGTTAGGTTTCTTGAATGTTAGAACTACACTCATCCAGGCAGGTGGAGAGTATTTTGTCACACTCCTGACTTGGACCTTGTATATGGTGGACAGCATTTTGAGGATGAAGAGATGTTTCTTCCTTCAGGATTCCCAGTCTTTGACCTGCCCTCGAAGCCATAGTATTTATGTGTTCCTGGTCAAAGGTGACACCCCAGGATATTGATAGTGGGGAATTTAGTGATGCTAATGCCATTGAATCTTGGATATGGGCATTGCTTGGCACCTGTGTGTCACAAATATTACTTTCTACTTATCCTAAACCTGGCTGTTGACCAAGTGTTGCTGCATTTAGACATAGACTGCTTTGGTGAGGAGTCACAAATTGAACATTGTGCAATCGTTGAACAGCCCCACTTCTGACCTTATGACTGAGCTCTGATCACATTCATCCACTCTGTTCCCATATCGCTTTACCAGGTAGATGAAGGAAAATGGAATGTGACTTGCATGTTAAAAAACTTTCTGCTTCAGCCACTGACCTTGGAAGTGAATTGTAAAGTGTAATCCTGCCTTTTCTTCCAAGTATGTTAACATAATCTTTTGTCCATGTCCTTTATGCTTCATCCCTCGACTAGTGGAAACTCTACTTCTACCTGCCTTGTCTTGTACTTACACAATGTTAAACTTGACTTTCACATTTTAATTATGCTGAATATTGTACAAAATAATGAGATCCAAGTTTTTTTTTCCAATTTCTTCATAATAGATAACATTAGAATGCTGTCTTTAATGGTTAAATATGTAATTTAAATATGATTTAGAGATTGGTTTAATAAAATTGATAGAGAAGAGTATCTGAGTCAAAATGGCAAATTAAAGCAAGATTTTAACAAATTAACAGAAGGAATAATTGGCAAATTTTAAAAAATCTTAATTAGGAACAGAAAATGCCAATCAAATATATAAAGGAAAGGAAAATGGTGGCAAAGTTGGGCAGAATTGAACCAAATTTACAAAAATTCTAGTTCTTATAGGTAGCTTATAAAACACAATCAAACATTGAATTGAATTGAATTAGGCTTATTGTCACATGCAAGTTTATAAGTCACAACTTATGGCACTATCTTAGGTCCAAAGGTACCTAGGTACAGATTCTTAGGAAAAGAATTGTGGGTAGAACAATAACAGATACAGTTTTGCACATATGTGAAGTATTTGAGTTGAGAAAAATGGTTTTCATGCCTCATTTGTGAGTGTTGTAAAACTGAAGGACGAAGTTAAAAATAGTACATGTTCAATCAGTATAATGCAGCAATCAAGAAGACCAACAATACCTGTGTTGTACTGTACCCATTATCATTTCCATGCTTTTGCATCATGATATATTTTGTCCTTTAATCTCTCTTGCACTCCACCCTTTCAGAGGCATTCCCTTTTATTCTTGGCTCCATGTTTTGGGACTAATGTAGGCTTTTTCATCTTGCAAACAAAATAATGAATGTGACATTCATGAGGTTTATTAAATCACTTCATGATTAAACACATTAAAAACTCTAAATGAAGATAAGGTGCACATTTCAGGGTGGTAGAAGACGGATTTGGGACTGATAACAGGATGTTACAACCAATTATACTTCAAAAATAAAGGAGAATGTGAAGGCATTGAAGACAGTGTAAAAAATATTCATAAGATTTCAAAATCCAGGGATGAAAGACTTCAGTTACATTGATGGATTGGCAAAGCTAAAGTTGTTCTCCTGAGAAAGCTGAAGATTGAAAAGAGATTTAATAAAGATTTTCAAAATCATGAGTGATCTGGATCAGCGTTCCCTCTAATTTTCTTTCTGGCTGTGGGCCTTCTGAGGTCCGTGGGGGGCAGTGACTTCTGGAATGGATAAGGATTGTTTCCATTGGTAGATGGCTTAGAACTAGAGAGCACAGATTAAGGGGATGGCGAATAAAAAATAGAAACAACATGAGGAAAGATAGTGAGTGGTTAGAATCTGGAATATACTGCCTGAGAGAGTATTGGAGGGAGATTCAAATGTGGCTTCCAAAAGAGTATTGGATAATTATATGGACAGGAATCAATACAGGACAATGGGGTAAAGGAAGTGGAGTTGGACTAGAGGAGTTGCTCTTCCAGAAAGCTGCCATGAACATACCAGGTCATATTGCCATGTCCTGAGCTGTCTGGATTCTTTGATTGCACTGTATTAGTTGAAAGACATTGAAAAATTCATCTAATCACATATGAAATATTCTGTGTAAATCAAGTATTTTGTTCAAATAGTTTAGTGAGGATGATAACCATGAAATCATGGGGGATAATAAAGGGGGGACTATAATGTCTTTATGTATGAATAAACAAAGTGAGATGAGTCCTATTGTATCTGCATTAGTGAATTTGTGATCTAGTTTGAGAGCAAGGTATGAAAAACCAATTTAAGAAACCAACTTTTGAAGTTTTACATGGAATTGATGAACTGGCACTATAAATATTCAGTGAGGTGAGAAATCAGAACTGTGCACTGAACCCTCTTGAGCTTTCTTAATCTCTCAAACAGTGTCATTCTTGCATATAAAAGCAAGATGCTGTAAGAAAGATGTTTTAATGTAGACACATAGCTCCCACTGGATGCAGCATGGTTCCAAAGTAGCAATGACAACACATATTTTGGGCTTTGTTAAGGGTTAAGTAATAGCCAGGATTAATTTACCCTCTAATTTCTTTTTATGGTGTATGCCCAGTTAATATAAATGCATGAGTCTTCCAAGATTTTTGTGTGGCCATACATATGTGGTAACGTAAAGGGACCAATTCATATGCAATCTTGATGGGGATTTTCAGGAAGCTGTCTGGCAGTGCAGCTTGGACAGAATTTTCACCAGAACATTTATGTATTTAAGTAGATCTACAAGTTCCCCTCCTAACCACACACCATCCTGACCTTGAACTGTTTCTTCTCTATCATGGGGTGAAAACTCCCTTTCTAAGAGAACTGTTGGTGTCTCTACACCCCAAAAACTGCAGCAGCTCACCACCACCATCTCCAGGGCAATTATGGATGTACAATAAATACTGGCCTGACCAAGTGACATCCACATCCCATGAACAAATTCTAAAAAATGTTATTTTCCTTCTAATATTGATAGCTCTGAGGAATTAATGCATTGTCCTAAATATCTTGCACACATTCTTTCCAAACCAATGATATTACCCAATTCAGTAAGTCTTTGAAATACTATTCTTCAATAATTTAGTTTCTTGCAAGCCTCCAAGTCTCCATCCCTAGACTTCCCAAAAAAGTGGGTGTGCCATGGAAGTTTGTTTCTTTGAAGGGTGCTTTAATGAAAAGGTCAGAACCACTGAGTTACATTTATGTTAGGTAGGCCATTTGGTGCTATCAAGCATCCCCTACACACCAATATCCTGCTTTTAGATGCTTCAATTCCAGCTCCACCAGGCCCACTCTCCAAGATACTGCAGAATCCTGGTCTAAGTATGGGCTCAGAACCTAAATTGCTGAGGTAAGGTGAGAGTGACTGCCCTGAACATCAAGGCAGTTATTTTTTAAGTTTGTCATTAGAACAGTTCCAGTAGAACTAGAATCAATGGAGGCCAATGAGAAAGCTCTCCACAGCCTGGTCTCATACCTAACACAGAGGAAACTAATTGTAGTTGTTGAAGGACAATCATCTCAGTTCCTTGCTGCAGGAATTTCTTAGGGCAGCATCCTGCTAACAACCACCTCTCTATTAGAAGTGGGACTGCTCCCTCAGGAATTTAGTGAAATCTGGACACCATCAAAGCTTGGCCTTGTTTGAAGAAAGCAAGATTTGTGCCAAACAAGTATCAGGTTTGAATAAGAAGTGCTGGAGAAACTCTTGAGTTATATTGGTCTCAACATTTTAACTTTGTCTTTCTCTCCACAGATGCTACCAGACCTGTCACATTTCGTCAGAGCTCCCTATTTTTAGTAACCTTCTTATCTTTAGTAATTCATCTTTTTTGTGATAGATAGGGCCTGACGTTCACAAGGGAATCAACCTTTCCTTTTTTTTATTCTCAGAATGTGGATATTAATGGCAGGCTTCATTGCTGTCCATCCTAAATTACCCTTGAGTAGGCGGCAGTGGGTATATTTCTTAAAGTGATGCAATCCTTGTGATGAAGATACTTTGGTAATTCTGTTGGGTCGGTTTTTTTTTCAGTCTGCCTGCTTTCCTTAGATGGGTAGATGACATGAATTTGTATGATGGTGTTAAAGAGATCTTTGTAAGCTGCTGCAGTGCAGTATGTTGTTAATCCATATCAACGGTAAAGGGAGAGTATCTTTGGGATGATGTAGGCTGTTTTTCTGTGTGTTGTAGTTTCTTAAAATGGGTGCTACACACGGAGCAGGGGTGAGAAGCTGGGAGGAATGCTGTCCCTGGAACTGCACTGGAACACAGCAAACCTCCAAGGTAAATCCATGTTCGAAATATTCAACGTAATTTCGTATATCTTTGGCCCAAAATACCTTCCTGTGAAAGGTGGTATCAGAAACCGATACAGAACTAACCAGAGCCAGAAGTAACCCTTAATTCTGGCAGGTTTCTTGCCTCTTCTGCCGCCCACGTGATGGCTGATGGTCTGAAAAAGTGACGATCTGGTGGGATCATGCTACCCATCGGAAATCCTCCCATCTCTCTCTCTCGCATTGAACACGAAGTTGCATGGTGCAGCTGTATTGAGTTCCATCGATAGAGCTGAGACAAGAAGTGCTGGCTTCGACAGGACAGTGGGTCCCTTTCAAGAAATTAGTTTTTTTTTGCAAAATAGAACCCTTCTAAAAGGAATCTCTAACACGAGGGCGGAGATGACCACCTCCACACTCACGCACCACACGAACACCAACCTTTATCCAATCCCCCCCGCCTCCCCAGCCAATGCTCTATCCCACTACACAACCACTACCTAACCCCACACGTCCCTGAACAATACTCCCACCCCCATTCCCCACCAGTGAGACAACGTTCTGGTCATCTGCAGGCAGGATGCCTGCGGAACACCACAAACAACAAACATGCTTGTTCCTCTTCTCCTCGAGGACTTGGGGCAGTTGGGAATCCTGCCTCAGCACATCATCCTCCAGGAACTTTAGCCTTATTTTCACCGACAGTGGTGCATTGCAGAGAAAAACGGCGGGGTGATACATTTATTAGGAGAAACTCGAAAAGATTGAACTGCACTTTCCATTTGTTTTAAAAGTATGTGTGGAAAACATCCCGCAACAAGTCTTACCGAAAAGCCAACATAACGCGAACAGAAAGCAGACTTTTTGTTTAAAGCGAGCATCCACTGACCCCATGAGTGTAAAATTGACAAGTCCGCATCTGGATTAGAACATTCCCGCCCGCCCCTTACCCCACCCAAGAAGAATATGACCACATCAAAATATTGGAATGGAAATAAAATGGGCCAGAGTGCAGAACAGGCGAACATGTCAACATCACCCGTGGTGCTTCAATCACATTCACTCTTTAATGTTATTTAAAATGATATCTTTAAAAAGATTTGGCTGAATGTTACCACTTGTAGAAGTGAAGATTAAAAGTCATATCTTTTGGAATGAGGGCGTCGTTGGCTAGGCAAGCATTTATTGCCCATCCCTAATTGCCAAGTGGGCAGTTGAGAATCAACCACTTTGCTGCAGATAGCAGTTTCCTTCCCTAAAGGGAGATTAGTGAAGATTAGGGGTTTCCTTCTGACAATCAGGCAAAAGTTTCATGACTATCATTAGACTCTTAATTCCAGATTTTTATTGAAGTCAAATGCCATCATATGCCATGGTGAGATTTGAACCCAGATCCCTGGACATTACTTGGGTCTCTGGATTAATAGTCTGGCCCTCGCTTCATTATGCAGACAGAAAATGAAGCACTCAGTGAAAAATTAATTTTAATATCATTGGTAATTTCATTTTTCTTCTTAATTAGAGTCATAGAGCACAAACAGAGCCTTTGGTCCAACTTGTCTGTGCCAACCAGACGTGCCAATCTGACCTAGTTCCATTTGCCAGCATTTGGCCCATATCTCTCTAAACCCTGAGATAACAACGTGTA